GATGGATACCGATACGTAATAATGTAAGCAGCCAGTATCGATGCAAAATACGGATCGTTTATATAATCGAACTTTACACTGGTGATATCCTTTGCGGTACCGGTCCACTTCGTGTCGAGATCGTCGAAGTTGGATACAAAGCTGTTGTGAGAGGTGTTAATACAGTCGCAAACATAAATTTCGAACCTATTTATTCTGTACGGAAGTGGATCCCTGTTATGTTTAAAGGTTTGAACGGTTCCGTAATTACCCCATATTCTCTCCCATTGGTAAAGATACCACGTCCACTTTTTATTTCCCCTGAATGTGTTGGATTTGATGTCGTAACTTTCCGCGTCCGTAACCTTAAAGAATATGTCCTTGGATTCTAGGGTTCCATCCTTTGCAAATGTAACCTTAAAGTCAAATTTAGACATTTAATTTCTGCGTCCGGATATTTCTTCCTAAAATCCTCCTTCATCTTCCGTATTTCTACGGGTACTGCCGCCTTTACTTTTTCGTAGTTCTGTCCGTAATAGTTGCGGAACATGTCTTCACCGGTACTCATTTTATTTAATACATATAATAAAAATGAAGAAGTTAACGGTGTTTATCGAGGACGGAACTACCGAGTTTTTTCCGGACAAGTGTATTACGACGAACGCAGGGTCAGAATTAATCTTAAAAAATGCAACCATCTACTGGGCTTATACAGGGTGTATCAAAATAAACGCAATTCATCTTTTGTGCTTAATAACTTTCGAAATACTATTTCTAGTTAAACGCTTTTAGGCTTACTTCAAAGCCTGTTCTTTGCTCTTTCAAACAAACTATTATCCTTGTCTCCAATGCTAGTAATAATTGCACAGGAAAAGATTTAGTAAACCTATCATTTTTAGTTGCTGTTTAATTATGCAAGTTTACTATGTTATTGTTTAGTCGGTTTAAATGTTAGAATTTTCTTCTTTAAACTTTAATGTTGTCGTCACTACATCTGGAAAACCACGTAAGAACAAATTAAAAGTATTTTAAAAGAGACCAGGTTGTTTGAAAATCCTAAACGAATGCTAAAAATCATAGAATCAAACATTCTGGTGTCTGAGCCAGAGTGTCATCGAATTGCGATGTAATGTAAACAGAAATTATAGCAAGCTGATGTCAGTCAGCTTAGATGGTCCAAGCCAAAATTATATCGCATTTGAAGTTTCAAACTGTGTTAAAAATAGTGGAAGAAAAAGCCGTAATTATACTTATTGTTACAATCCATTTATTAAAATGCAACATTTTTTTGTTTTAATGAAAAAATCAGTTATTTTCATGAGAACGATTTGTTATTCCATCTCAATTTTTTTAATCTCCAATCGCAATAACGTAAAGTATTATTACCCGCGAACCAATGAGTCAAATTTAAGAAACAACCCACTGTTAGAAAGCTGAATGGCTACGCTTTAAAATGAATGTAAACTTTAACGTTTTCGTCTATTATTTGTTTAGCAATTTACATTTCAGTCGAGGATTGCGCTTTTTTTTTATACACCCTGTACAAATACACATATTTCTTTTCATAAAATAACCAAAATATTAGCAATATTCGCCATTTTTTGACAGGCGGTCGTATTCAATGAGGCCAAAAAACAGCAGTTTGGATTTGAATTTTACTAAAAATAAAACTTATAGGATAATGGCAATTAGTCAACAGAATTTTTGAGCCCTATCAGCACACCCCAGGTCATATCAACATGAATAAACCCTGGTAAGCTTATCGTTTTATGATGGGGTATGAAACATTGAGACCGTTATCTTGACGGGTACCAAATATTATCCGACAATTTTGTGGGGGTATGAAATTTTTTTCACAAAATTAAAAATATCCTCCAATTAAAAATATCCTAAAAATAGCACTTACTTTATGACCGCTCCCTAAGACTTCAATGACCCGTTGTTCGGAAGAGAAAAGAACAAGCTTAATTTATTGTTTTGGCGACTGAAATTCATTTGTTACAATATGTTCCAAAAGGTAGAAGCCGCAGCTTATTTTCGCTAGTATAAATAGCCCTATTAACTTTATATCACAATTCTGATTGGTTGAGAAAACTTTATTTGCATGCTGTTTTGGCTTGTTCTTTTTTCTTTCGAAAAACAGGTCATTTACATGTCTCAATTAAGTCCATGACACTGAATTGTATTTAACAAATATAAAACATTTTCCGTGTTGATATACAGTTATATCAACACGAGTGGAATTGCGAAAACGAGAAATTGAATGGAAACACGACGCCCAAGGGCGGAGTGTTTTCATACAATTTCTCGTTTTCCCAATTCCACTCGTGTTGATATAACTGTATATCAATACAGAAAAAATGTTTTATATTTTTTTTATAATATAGCAATGTCGAAAGCCCGAAGGATAAGAAAGATTTCCGTGTTTACAAGCGGCGGAAAATTTCCCGTGTTGACATTGAGTTATATCAACACGGCTCTTAGCCAATCAGCATTCAGAACTTACAAATGCTATAGCTGTTTTATTAAAGCGTTGTCATTGCCCACCAGCTATTGAACTGAACGCCCTGTCTACGAGTCATTTGGCAATTGCTTTGGGCAAAACATGTCTCTATTTAAAACGATACTAGCGTACGTTCAGTTTTTTGCTTTCATCGGATATGGTGCTACTATGAAACATGCTATATTTAAAAGAAAAACTGGACAATATTTACCAGATAGTGTGATCACAACGAAATATGCAGAAAGTGAATTAGAGTGTTCCATGCATTGTACAAGCGTCGACGCGTGCTTGTCAGTGAATTACAAAGCTAGCGGAGTGGATCAAGGTTTATGTCAACTCAACAACAGCACAACTTCAGAAAATTTTGGACTGGTTTCCGATGATAAATTTGTACATCTTTCCATTGTAAAGAGGGTAAGGTAATTTTTATGATATCACAAATGTATATGAGGCCAGCTTGTGCATGTACGTGGATGACGTAACAATATCGGAGTCCTTAAAGAAAAATGAAGTTTCAGTCTATACAGTCTGATCTTAACACAATTGAAAGATGGACTGTTAATAACAACATGAAATTGAACGGAAAGAAATGCAAAGAAATGATAGTGATTTTCGTCCGTAGCGAGAATGACATCCCCCGACTCCTCATTGATGGTTTGCCTCTAGACTTAGTTCCTTCATTCAAAATTTTGGGCTTAACCATGAACAATAAATTGAAATGGCAAGATAACACTGAAGCGTTAGTTAAAAAAGCCTCAAAACGCTTATACATTATTCGTGTTCTACAGCGCTGTGGTTTCCCCCCAATGACCTCTTATTAGTCTACTTTTCTATGGTGCGCTCTATCTTAGAATATGCCTGTCCTGTCTGGCACACCATGTTACCAAAGTGTTTGGGGATAAAATTGAAAAAGTTCAAAAAAGAGCTTTCCGTATTATTTATCCGACAACAGATTACGAACATGCTCTCAACATCGCTCAATGCAAGCGCCTTGACGACAGACGTCAAGAGTTATGTGCTAAAACTTTCAAAAAGATCTTAAAACCCGATGCTCACCTCAACCACCTCTTACCCCCACTCCGTGAAGAAACGCATGAACTGGACTTAAGAAACAATTCTAACTTCACATTAACTAAATGCAGAACTGAACGTTTTAAAACTAGTTTTATACCAGCAATGACTGCTAATTTTATTTTAATAGTAAATAATTTGTAGTATTTTAACAACTGTACATATACGATATATCTATATTTATATTATTTGATATTTATCCTTTATTATGTTTCTGTAAGCATATTGCAATTCACCTTCGGGTGCCAAAATGTGTTTCTTAATAAACCTT